GGCAAAGGAGGAAACAAGAGAAAGCAAGATGTTTCTGATATTTTACTACAGTGGCAGAACATACAGAACAAGCAACTGGAATTTCAAAGTTGCTCAGCATCTAAGGAAGAAATCAAGTCATGTGGCTATAACACATTTCAGGATTGATAGGTTACAAAAAAAATAATAATTTAGTCTACCTGCACAGCGCACAACATCTGTAACCTACCAACAGAGCACACAGCAGCCAGCCATACCATGAGTGGGAAGTCAGATCACAGCATCTGCTCAAAGCCTCAGCACATCTGAAGTCCCTTTTCTGGTCTACTTGAAAGCCACGTCCCACCCCCACATGATTCACACCCCCTCACACCAACAGCAGGCTACCGAGGAGCTCTGCAGCAGTTTCTTGAGAGGAAGAGGTCATTCAGGACAATCAAAGCAGGGGCAGCAGCACCCAGAATAAAAAGAACAAGATTCTTTGTAGTTTCCAAGCATTGTCTGGCCACACAGACAACCCGCATTTGTGGACTGACGCAATATGGAATTGTCATTATGTACACAGCCAAGATGTTCTCTCCAGTACGATCGTCTTTGATAAGCTGCAAGGGCGCTCGGTTTCAACTTATTTACAACTGGCATAAGCCCCACAATAACGTGCTGCAGGAAACAACAGGCCACTGAGACTGCTGGAGCAGAAGGATGTCAAAGGGAAAGGCTGTAAAAAGGAGAGAGAAAAAGAGTACCTGAATACTTACAATAAATAAAATCTTTGTCCCCAGGAGCAGTAGCAGCACAAACTCGCTGTTCACCCCACCGCCGCTCTTCACTAGAGTTCTGCCAGGACTAAGGAATCACTTTTATAAAAAGATTGCTGCCTATTACATAGATCTTTCCTTCTTTCTGGCCACTATTTCTGTCATTTCACTTTAAAGTAACCACACATTCACAGAAAAGAATACCCTTCTGAGTCTTAATGGCTTGTAATGATCCTCCAGAAAAAGATCACTGTTGTTTTTACATAGCACACAGCAGGGAATCACTTCTCCACCAGCTGAGGGCTTCCCCCAACCCAGCCAAGTGCCACATCTGATCTCTACAGCATATTTCCCTAAAACATTATTAGAGCACGCATAAACGTGCTCATCCCTTGTGGAAAAAAAAAAAAGAAGTTGCACCAGAGGATCACATGCCCTCTTAATCCCAGAAACTTCAGTCTTCATACACAAGGCCTGGATTTCTGTGAACTCTTTGCAGCCAAACTGTGGGTCACAGCTCTCAGCTGGCAGTCTGCTTCTTGGCTGCACAGCAGCAGGGTGAAAGGGAGTCCCACCAAGCACAAGAGCAAGCAGTGAGCTTACACAGGAATGCTCAGCCTGATGGTCAGCTCTATGCAAAACAGCATTTTCCAGATCTTAACCCAAATAGCACTTCTCTTTTACCCTCCAAAGTTATCCTAGAAAAACAATCACCAGGAAAGCAAAGTGTTGAAATAACCACACTCAGCATCACTGCACCTGAACAAGTTAGAAGAAAACAGTCATGTTTTCACGGAGCACTGGAACAGGCTGCCCAGGGAGGTGGTGGAGTCTCCTTCTCTGGAGATGCTCAAGACCTGCCTGGATGCCTACCTGTGGACCTGCTGTAGGGAACCTGCTTTGGCAGGGGGTTGGACTCAATGATCTCTGGAGGTCCCTTCCAACCCCTACAATTCTGTGATTCTGTGATTCAGTTTTTGCCTTCACTACTCTTTATCCAAAAACAGCCACCCCGAGCCTCTTTGTGCATCCGCCTGCATGTTCTCAGTCCAACTATGCACACCTCTAGCCATAAGGCTACAGCCAGGCTCAGACATGAGCCCTTTCTGCTGCAGGTTCCCAGTGCTAAGTACTCTTTCAGTAGCTTTGTATTTGAGTTGCCCTCTGGAAACATTCAGGCTGGAAAAGCATTCCTCTCAGAGCAACATCATTTGCTCTACTTTTTCAGTCAACGTTAACAATATTCACCAGGAAAATATTAAAACACAAAGCTGACTAAAGCAAACACACAGGCATTAGCCATCTTCAAAATGGCCATCTCAAAAACTTAACTTGGCATACAAAAGGATAACTGGAACCCAACCAAACAGTCCTAGAATTTCACCTGAGAACTAGATACTAACAAAGTTATCATTTAAGGATAGATAAGGTAGGCACTGCTGCTTAACTGCTCCACCTTGATGCAGCGAGAGACTACCTCCTTCCAGCCCTCCTTTATCCCATGCCATCCAGAAAAATCCTCCCTTCTTGCAGAGGACTGAATTTAGTGCACATCAATATTTCATAACTTCATCCTGTCAAGAAATCAAACAGAAATACTTAAGGGCACTCTTCCAGGAGATGCACATCTTAACTCCAAGCATGAAACCACATTCATCATAGCCCTTCTCCCCCTTCCAAACACAAGGCCTGAAGGTGAGGCAGCAGTGAAAAACATGAGATCTTGTATGCATATAATGTAAGAGCATTACCCATGGTGCACTACTTCCATTAAAAAAATGCAGAAACAATGCAGCAAAGCTGGCCTGGTCTCCTGTGAAGAAAATATATCTCCAGCATTTCAGCCCCCCTTTACCTCCTGGCGCTACACAAGAAATGAACTCCATCCCAGCACCTCACGATGATCAGATACCCAGTCTGAAAAACAATCAGCTGCTAGGACAGAGCAGCCAGCCATGAAGACACAGGATCACTGAACGCCTTGGTTTGGAAGAGACCTCAAAGATCATACTGGTCTAACCCCCTTTGCTGTAGGCAGGGCTGTCCCCCACCAGCTCAAGCTGCCCAGGGCCCCATCCAATCTGACCTGAACAACTCCAAGGATGGGGCATGCACTGTTTCTCTGGACGTCCAGTGCCAGTACCTCACCCACTTCTGAGAAAAGAATTTCCTCCTAACATCTAATCTAACTCTCCCTTCTTTTAGTTTAAAACTGCCTCCTCTTTTCCTATCAAGTCAGAAGGCGCCTGAAGACAGATATTACCATGTGCAGTGCATGCAGCTCCCACCAACCTCAACAGGAACTCAGCTCTTCAGGAACAGAACAGGCCACTTCCACACCATTACTGCTCCAATGTGCTGGTGACTACCTGCAAGCTGTATCTTCAGAGAAGTGGAGATGAGAGCTTTACCCTAACCTGCCTTAGGCAGTGGCACAGGATTACACACATTTGGAACAGATTTTGCACTTCCTTCAGAACCACATCAAGAAATTCTGACAGAGCTCTACTTGGCAGCTTTGCAGGACAAAGACAGGCACCACAAGGCAAGCTCCCAGGACAAGAGTTGCTCAAGTTACCTGTCAACACACTGCATGTTCCCTGCTTATCTCCTCAGGACACCATGCACTGATTCATGACTCTTGTTCCTCTTGATGCAAGACAGCTTCCCTTGAAGATAGGAAAAGCATCCTCTTCGTACCACTGAGACCGGCGTCTGAGTTCTTTATAAAATATTGATCTGTCTGCCATCTGCAGTCCCTTAAGTTAAAAGGTACATCTGCACGATGAGGGAAGGCAGGCCTGAGAGCCTTTGTCTGTTCCCTGCACAGCTGCCTCTGTCTGGGCATCCCAGGACATGGTCACACAGAGCCCAGGACTGCCCACGTCCACCTATGTAGTGATGTGCTTCAGGTGTGAGCAGGCGACAAGCAGCCCTTGCAAAAAGCCAGCAGTACTTCTGTCTCTGCAACGTTCTTCTCACCTGATCTGGCACAAGACACCCCCCAGAAAACACACCCAAAGAAGGGGAGGAGGGGAAAAGATTGCTCACTTCTGAACATCCACAGAGCTCTCTCATCTCCCTCCAGAGGGAGCAATTCTAGAGGGAGCAGAAAGGCTGAGAAGGAGCCTGACATACAGAGAAGGAAATCAGTAAGTCATCAATACATGTGCCCTGTTAGAGCCTGAACCGCTGCCAGGAATTGCAAGTGAATTGATAGCCTTAAGTGCAGTGACTGGAGGCCATCTTGGCTGCTTCAGGGACAGGAGGTACTACCACAGGAGGAACTCCTTCACACAGCAGCTTTACCATTATTGCAGGACAACATCGGTTTGGCAGCACGAAGAACAGCCCGCTGCAGCTAAAATGGCAGAGCAGCTTTCACCAGCCTGCTCCAGCATGGCAGCTCTGGGCAAAGGCTGGGAAGCGTGCCGCACAACCAAGGGACAAAGTCAAAAAGCCCTGGCTGGGATTGCTGCAGGGTTATGGGAGCTGCAGTTAAGCAATAACCCAGTCCCAGTCCTGCCTAGCACACGGGGAGTCACAGCACACAGCACTCACTCTCCTTTCTCACTTTTCAAACCAGCGGAAAACTTTGTGAGAGCTCCGATCTGTTCCAGCAAGCAACTACAAGGCCACTTCATATACTAACAAAACGCACAGCCCAGACACGTTTCCAAATTTTGAGTTATCCTCTGCATTCCGTCAGGGATGGGAAAGCAGGACGGTTTCAGGGAGCCACGATGCAACGCCATCGCGAAGCAGCAGTGCGAGCCTCCGGAGAAACCCCTGCGCTGCCCAAGCACCGAGCGCTGCCTCCTCAGCGGGCACCGCCGCCACCCAGGCTGGCTCCTCATCCCCTGGGCTGGAGGCACACGCACACCGATTGGTGCAGGTGGGCGCCCAACGGAACAGCAGTACGAAGTTGTCCGGGAGCCGTGCAGGCACCTCGCGTCACCCCTGGTTCTCACAGCTCCGCCGCTTTCCTAGCGAGCTGTGACAGGCGACGAGCCCGGCTCCGCCGTGCAATATTCCCCCTCCTCGGCCCTGCTGCAGCATCGCGCCACCGCACCGGCTCTCCTCTCACACCGCTCTAACCTGGGCTGGCGGCGAGCAGCCTCCCGCAGCCCGTCACGCTTCGCTCAGTCGCGAGCCCGAGCCCCGCGGCACTGCCGACACCGGAGCCCCGGGGCCTCGCGGCCGCCCCCTGCACGGCTGAGAGCGGCCCGACCCCCGAACGGCCCCGCCGCCCGCCCCACGCACCGCTGTCCAGCCGGGCGATCTGCGGGAGGCGGTAGGTGCTGACGAGCAGGTCCAGAGGGACGGCCACCGCGCTCCACTTCACGTCCTTCAGGCTGAAGCCCAGCGAGGAGCCGGGGTCCATCTTCCCGCCTGGCCCGGGCAGGGCAGCGGCGCGGAGGGGAGGGAACCGGGCGGGCAGCGCAGGCGGGGGTCGCTCCCACCCGGCGGGACGGCGGCGTAAGGGAGGGAGAGGGAGGGAGGGAAGCGGGGAGGCAGCTCGCCGCGCTCAGCGCCGGCTACCGCCGCGGGACATGCTGGGCTAAGCAGAGGGGGAGGCCCGCCGAGCGGCCGACGCTGCTCCCGCCGCCCCACGGCACCGGCTGGGGCCGCCCGCCGCCGCGCCTGGCCCAGGAAGCGCCATCCCAGCACTGACTAATCAACAGGGTGCGAGCAACGCCTGCGCAGCTGCCGCTCCTCCCCGCTCCGAAAAGGAAAGTGCCGGGCTGCCCGCCCGGCGGGGCGCGCCGCCGCCCGGCCCGGCCCTCTCACTCCACCCTCCGACCGCTCGCCCGACGTGCAGGGGCGGGGCGGCCGCCTCGGGCTGCAGGTGGGCGCGGGCGCTGGGCGACCCCGCACCTGGAACTGCCGCCCAGAGCCGTGGGGCGATAAGGCTGCGGGTTCGGGGCTCGCGTCAGGCACGGAGCTAACACCAGACCGCGGGGCTCTGCGTGTGCGTTTATGCTTCGTTATCAGTCCGCCTGTTTAGCGTAGCGAAGTTCCATCCTACATTAAAAAACAAACAAACAAAATTAATTATGTACTAACTTTATTATTTTGTTTTTCACTCATCAACCACAAATGGGGTTTCAAGAGTGGAGAGCAGTACACAGGCACTGGAAGAAGATCTCTGGTGTATTTATACTGCTGTCACTGCAGGCATAGGTATTGTGTACCCTATTCAGTTCTCCTAACAAAACTGCAAATCAGCTGATCGTTCTCCTTTCTCAATGCTCTCTGTGATTGAGCCCCTCATAAGAAGTACACTGAGGCCCCAGAGTGCATCCAGAGAAGGGTAATGAGTCTGTGAGGGGTCTGGAGCACAAGTGTGATGGGGAGCAGCTGAGAGAACCGGGACTGCTCAGTCGGGAGGAGGCTCAGAGGAAACCTTATTGCTCCTTATAGCCCCCTGAAAAGAGGTTGCAGGAACTGGGAGTCAGCCTCTTCTCCCAGGTTAACAGTGATAAGACAAGAGGTGATGGCCTTAAGTTGCACAAGGGGAGGTTCAAGTTGGATATCAGCAAAAATTTCTTCTCCAAAAGAGTGCAGAAGCACTGGCATAGGATCCCCAGGCAGGTGGTGCAGTCACTGTCCCTGCAGGTGTTCACAAACTGTGTGGATGTGGCAGTGAGGGCCGTGGTTAGTGGGCATGGTGGGCATGACGGTTGGTCTAGGTGATATTAGTGGTCTTTTCCAACATTAATGATTCTGTGATGCAGTGAAGTCTTGTGTGATCTCCACGAGGTCAAACTGGGAGTTAGGAAAAGGTTTTTCACCAGAGAGTGGTCAGGCAGTGGAACAGGCTCCCAGGGCTATGGCACCGAGCTGCCAAAGTTCAAGGAGTGCTGCACAACACACTCAAAGGGTTTGGATTTGGGTGGTTCTGCGTGGAACCAGGGGTTAGACTTAGTGATCCATGTGGATCCCTCCCAACTCTGGATACTTTTTGATAAAACAAAATGTTTTTCTACCCCCCATAGCTCCTTATCTGCCTGCAGCCCCCCCACCCCTCGCTCTTCCTGTCCTGTATCAGGCCCAGCCATAGCTGCGTGCTATGTGGCTGCTGCCAGCAGTACTACAAGAACAAGGAGAGCTGAGACAGATCTGTTCTTGTTCTGGTTGGCTGCAGACAGACTTGTCCATGCTCTAAGATGAAATGACCACTATGGAAGCCAGAAGGAGTGAACAAACTCAAGTTAACTTGCTTTAAAGGGGTCTGGGTAGGGGTTTCCCATCCCTATGAAAGTCCTTCATTCTCTGAACTCGGTCCTGGTGATGTTAGATTCCACTTACTGGAATTGCTAGATTCACAAATATGAGACAGTGGATTTTATTTTTTTTTCAAAGTAGTTTCCTTTTTATGAAGTTTGCAGAATGCTTTGAACTACTTCAGTGAATTAAGCTATTGAAGTGCAAAGTGATATAATAGCTAAAAGCACTGCTGTCAAAATATGGAAAGCCGAAGTATGGTTTTAACTTGCTTAGGTTTGCCAAGGTTTTTATGCGTGAGGCGAAGCAGATCAGGTCAGACTGGGATTCACTGAGACCAGGAGCATGGGTCTGTCAAGAAGTGGCTTTAAAAGCAACCTACGTTAATTTCAGGACAGACACAGCCTCACCTCACAGGCTTCTCTCAGACATCACACAGCACTGCTGCTTGGGCAGAAACATTTCTCTCACAAAATCACAGAACCGTAGAGACCTCTGGGTATCATGAAGTCCAACCTCCTGCTAAAGCAGGTTCCCTACAATAGGTTGCCCCTTGGTTACTGCTAATTTTTCTTTACAGATTACTTTCTCCTTCAGTTTTAGGTGTGTCATACATCTATTAAGCCTGTCTTCATATACAGTCATGCCAGTGTCATCTTCCATCAGTAGAAACCCAACTTCTTCTTACCCATTCCACTGGAACAGGATGCATATTTTTAAATGCAATTTAGAGATACCATTTAAATTTAATTTAGTTATTTACAAGCAAAAATAAATTGTAAAGCCTATTATTATTTAACTGTTCTACTGGAGCTCTAAAATTGACTTTGTAATGTGTCCTACCTGTACTGCAGCTGAACCTTCTTGAAGTATGTTTTACTACTGCATACAAAGTATTCAAATCACTAGAACATAGAATCTCACAACTCTTTCTTGTGTTAACTGTACCTTATGCATAATTAACACTTCAGATATAACCATTTCTCTGATGTTTAGCAATGCCTCAGTCATTCAGTGATCTCTTACCCAAGTCTCCTGCTGGTGCTGCAAAATACTAACAAAGCCGCCAGATCTTTAGAGAAATGAATGTTGTCACATCTGCTCCAGGACTGGGGCCTCAGTTATGTTGTATCACAGTTTTTGTGCATGTATCTTTCAGGCAGCAGAGACTTTTTTTTTTTTCTTTTTTCTATGTATGTATGGGAAATTGTAGCCACAAAGCCACATGGAGTGGCAAAAGGGACTCAATAACTCCAAAACCTATTCTTCAAAGCATTCTGAACTGACAGGATCTCATGTTGATTTCTTAACATATTCATGTACCAGGAAGAAAAAAAAAAAAACAACACAGTATTTATTCAATTGCCAATAAAATGATTTTTAAAGCATTTAGGGTGATCATCAGTTCATATCTACACAAACGATGGAAATGGAGCTGTATTAAACAAACTAAGTTTACCGTGAATCTTCTAGCTTGCTTTATACTGTAGAAAGCATACACTAAATGGATTTCCAAGCCTCATTCTGTAAGATTCGTGTGAAGCCATTTATGTCAGCATTTCTTTCATCACCTATGAAATGGCATTCCTTCTTCCCTCATGACTTTCCCCTTTATCAAAGGCCCGATTAGCTGAATTTACGAGTATGGTGGAAAACAATAGGAGATGCTTTGGTCATTTCAGAATCAGATGCTAAATGCCAACTTTTCTCTGAGGTGAGCGGGGAGCTCAAAGATAACAACATTTGATATAGTTGACAACTGTGAATCTCTTGTTTTGAAAGAGAATGCTATTCCTGCTCTACTGATAAAAATCTTTCCTCATGCAAAGTATTCTGAAGAGATTTGAGCAACCTGATACATTTGTTGTTGTTTGGAAACGTAAATATTTCACCTCCCTAAGATGAGCCAGTGACCGGATAGCACCTAAGCCAATGTAACAGAAAACCCAGTAAAATTAAATGACGTATGGAAGGAATTCTTATTATACAGAGAAACAACAAAACCCCTACTGCCCTCTTTTATTGATTTATATTCATTGTTGGGAAGAGGATGAAGAACCAAATAGAGACACAAACTCCAAGAACCAGTAGCAAAACTTGTGTGAGTTCAGGTCAGCTTAAAGTTCAGAACTGCTGAAGGCAGAACTGCAGAATTTGGTCAGTACAGAAGATGGCAAGGAAGTGAACTAACTCAGCTGGATCATGAGATTTTTCAATGACATGAAAGAAAACAGAAAGCAGGTCAAATTACTGAATTATGAATAAACATGTTAAACAACTGGAATTAAAAGATAACAAGGAAGCTGGAGGAAAAAGTGCAGTGAGAAGACCAAGGAAATAACTGGTCTGTTGTTCTACAGAGGGAGAAATCTATTTAATTATCACATAATCACTGATGACACTGAGACACCCTAATGTCTTAAACCTTTGTCTTCAGTTAAAGGCAGATGTGATTTTACTACTAGCACCACTGACAAAGGACTAACAGCTTAAGCAGAAGAATGAAGAAATATCATGGAAAATACTTGTATAAATAAAAGATTTTTGATAGAGTGGATATGATGAAATTCCCGGAGGGTACAAGCCGTGTTAGAGCTGCAAATGATTAACACCAAGAAGAAATACTGAATGAGTGAGATTCCACAAAACTGGAAAAGGACAAAATGTGGAAAGGAAAAAGCACTACAAGCTGATTCTCTTTATTTCTACTCTTAAAAAAATCCTGGTTTCATAGAATCATAGAATTGCTCAGGTCGGAAAAGACCTTAAAGATCATCAAGTCCAACCACAACCTAACCAGAACTACCCTAACTCTAACAACACTCTGCTAAATCATGTCCCTGAGCCACATCCAAATGGTTTTTAAACATACCCAGGGATGGTGACTCAACCACCTCCCTGGGCAGCCTATTCCAGTGCTTAGCAACCCTTTCTGTAAAGAAGTGTTTCCTGATATCCAACCTAAACTTTCCCTGGTGGAACTTAAGGCCATTTCCCCTCATCCTGTCACCTGCCACCAGTGAGAAGAGGCCAGCCCTGCTCTTGCTGTAAGCACCTTTCAGATATTGGAAGAGAGCAATAAGGTCTCCCCTCAGTCTCCTTTTCCCCAGAAAATTTGAAAAAAATTGAACAGGCAATCCAACCATTTTTAAGCATATTGAAAGTAAATACATGAGAAGTAACAGCGTGGGTTTGTCAGTAACAACCAACACCAGATCAACCTAGATCACTTCTAGCAGATGGTAACAGGCTTTGTGAATAGGCTGGAAAAAGTGAGGGTCATAGGGTTGCATTTAAGTTGCTCTTAACTGAAAGGAAAAAATAAGGTCTAGAGAAGTATACAGCATGAGTGCATAATTATACTGAAATATTTGGTATTCCCAAGTTGAAAGGATGTATTGACTGCGACTTCACTGAGATCTCTCTTGAATCCAGAGCTATTTGATA